CCCGCCGTCGCGCGCTAACGCTGACGCTGAGGAACTCGCACGATATACGGCTGACTTGGAGCCCGCAGTTCGTGACCTCATCCGAGAGTACCACGACGTTTTTCGATGGTCGTTCTCGTACGCCGGCATCCCACCGATGCGTGACGTCGAGCACTCCATTCAGCTCGTGCCTGACTATCGTGTTCACCACCAGGCACCCTACAGACTCTCGATCCCCGAGGCCACCGAAATCAAGCGTCAGCTTGAGGAGCTCCTGAGACTGGGTTTCATTAAACCCAGCAACTCCCCGTGGGGTGCACCTGTCCTCTTTGCTCGCAAAGCGGATGGAACTCTTCGTCTCTGCATCGACTACCGCAGCCTTAACTGCTTCACGGTTAAGAACAGCTACCCCATGCCTCGTTCCGATGAGTTGTTCGACCACCTTGCAGGCAACCGCTTCTTTACGAAGATTGATCTTCGTAGCGGTTACCATCAGATCCGCGTCGCTGCAGCCGACCAGCCGAAGACCGCGTTCCGATCGCGATTCGGCCACTACGAGTTCACGGTGATGCCATTCGGCCTCACCAACGCACCCGCTACCTTTCAGAGGGCGATGAATGACATCTTCAGGGACATCCTGGAGCAGTACGTTCTCGTATCTCTCGACGATATCCCGGTCTATAGTCGTACCCTTGAGGAGCACCTCAGACACCTCCGCGACGTCCTTGACCGCTTGCACAGACATGGCTTCTACGCCAAGCTAAGCAAGTGCCGCTTTGCCTAGCACAAAGTGGATTTCTTAGGACACTACGTGTTTGACCAGGGTCTCCACATGGACGACGCGAAGATCAGTGCTATTGCGGAGTGGCCCGCTCCCACATCCGCCAAGTAGCTTCGCAGCTTCCTAGGCCTGACCAGCTACTAAAGTAACTTCATCCGGGAATACGCTAGGTATTCCTACGTCCTTACCTCCACCCTCCTCCGGAAGAAACCACCCTGGGCTTGGACACCCCTCCACGAGGACGCCTTCCGCGCCCTCAAGAAGTTCTTCACCTACCCGATTTTGACCGCCCTTTTATCCTTACCACCGATGCGTCAGACTTTGCTGTAGGAGCAGTGCTTTCTCAGGTCTTCCCCTCATCTCCTGATTCCTCTCATCCTCGTATTTCTCGCTTCCCACCACCTACCCCTACCACTGCTTCCCGACTGACGCCTACTCATCCAGCTATTGACGAGCCTTGTATTGACTATTCTCCTACCATCGCCGAGGACGACACTGTCGAGTCTCGCTCAGGTGATTGTCCGATAACCTTCTACTCCCGTCAGCTCCTGCCCGCTGAGATAAACTACACTGCTGATGAACGTGAGGTTCTCGCGGTAGTTTATGCCGCTCGGCACTGGCGTCACTACCTGCACGGGGCACCATTCACGGTGCGCACGGACAACTCTGTTGTCCAGGCTTTTCTGACAAAGCCAAAGCTCACTCCTCGACAGGCTCGCTGGTGGCGCGACCTATCCGAGTTTAGTTTCACCACTGAGCACATCAAGGGTGAGACTAATCGGGTCGCCGATGTTCTATCCTGGCGCCCTGACCACGACCAGGAGCACATCCAGCTCTCTTCCATCTCGGTCAGCACCGTCCACCACGAGGTGATCGACGAGTTTCGCACTCAGTACCGCCACTGCCCCGACTATCGCGACATCCACGCGACCCTTCGGAGTGGCAAGACCGTCCCGAACTACTCTCTCGGGGACAACGGTCTTGTGTACTGGCACGGTTCACAAGGCACCAGAGAGCCCCGTAATTGTGTTCCCTCCACTGGACAGCTACGTGTCCGAGCAGTAGCAGAGTTGCATGACCAGGCAGTTGTCGGTCATATCGGCTTCCACAAGACGTTGGCTCGTGTGAGCCGCCTGTACGTCTGGCCGAAGCGCAAGGACTTTGTGAAGGACTACGTCGCAGAGTGTCCCACCTGTCAGGAGGTGAACAGTGCGAACCACCTACCTTATGGTTTGCTCCAGCCTCTTCCTATCCCTGAGGGTCGTTGGCAGTCCATCTCGATGGACTTTATCCGTCCTCTTCAACCTCCGACCCCCCGCGGTCATGATGCTATCCTGGTCGTCGTCGACCGCTTCACGAAGCGTGCATGCTTTGTTCCGTGCCGCTATGCCATCAGTGCACGTGAGGTCGCCGAAATCGTATTTGACYGAGTCGTGCGTGACCACGGCTTACCTCTGAGCATCATATCTGACCGTGACCCGCGCTTTRCYARCCGATTCTGGCGACGGCTCCACGAGGTGTACGGCACTCAGCTCCGCTTCTCCTCGTCTTACCATCCTCAGACTGATGGTCAGACCGAGATCACGAACAGGACTCTCGAGGATATTCTCCGAAAGATTGTTCGTGACGACCAGCAGTGGGATCTCCATCTTGCCCACGTGGAGATAGCCTACAACCACACCGTCTCGCCAGCCACGGGGATGTCGCCTTACTATTGCGACCTCGGCTATCACCCGCGTGTTCCCGCGGACTTCCTTCGACCGTCCCAGATGCACCCCGACACGAGTTGTCCCGCACTGGATGATTGGGTTGCACACATGACGTCGATTATGAAGACCTCACATGAGCACATAGTCGCTTCCCAGACTCGCATGGCAGCACGTGTGGAGCGATCGAGGATGGATCACCCATTCAAGGTCGGTGATGATGTGCTTATCGACGCCCGCCACTTACAGCTCGAAGCGGACACGCTTCGCAAGTTTCGGCGTCGTTTCTTTGGCCTATGCCGCATCCTCCAGGCCGTCGGTTCTGATACGGCATCTAGCCCGGTCAGCTTTCGTGTGAAGCTGCCAGACTACCTACGCCAGGCTCGTGTGTATGATGTCTACCACGTCTCGTTACTGCGTCCTTAACGCAGACCGTCTGAGCGTTTCGCTGGACGACCGTACGAGCGCCCTCCACCCATCATGGTGGACGGCCACGAGGAGTTCCTCGTTTCAGACATCATTGGTCGCCGAGTCACCGACGACAACCCTCCCCACGTCGAGTATCTCGTACGTTGGAAGGGTTACCCTGATGAGGAGGCTACCTGAGAGCCCCTCGAGCACTTGCAGCACGCTCGCATGTTGGTGCGTGCCTATGACCGTGCTCGTCGTGCTGGGTTCACTGCTCCTCCTCAGCCCACTGACCCTCCTCCTTCTCCTCCAGCTGAGGAGAACGCTGAAGTCGAGCCTGCTCCATCTGAGGCAGACCTTCAGCAGCAGTCGGATGCCTCTGAGCGTCCACAGCGCACTCGTCGTCGTCCTGCTCGATACGACGCTGCGGCTCTTCCTCGATGACATTCCGGACTTCTCATCGTGGACGTCATCGGCGGCTTCATGGACTTCATTACGATCAGCTCTGACTACTTCAGACGTCGCCACTCTCTTACCACTCTACCCTGTACAGTACCCTGCTTGTGTCGCATGATGGTCTCCCTTTAGCCGGGTTCCTCTGAGTTGGGCTCTCCCTTGGTATACGCATAGGCATCGAGACCGTAGCGTTGCCCTGGCTTCCCATCTTACGGATCTAGCTCCGACTTCCCTCACTTTAGGAGTCAT